CTATAAAAAGGACTCATTTATTTAAGACTCCATTTACTCACTTGTTTTTTTTACACTTTTCTTTTTTCTTTATCTACCTATCCAGAGTATTTTTTTCTTTTAATTAATTAAAAACTATAAAATGTCCAAAAAATCAAACTCTTTAACTTCAATTGTGCCAAGAAGTGTGAGAAATAACATTAAACACCTAGACAAGCTTCTCATTCACTAAATTTGTTTGAGTTTATATCTTCAAAATTTGAAACATGAAGAAAATGAGACAATAAAAAATATGTATTTTTTAGCTTAAAAAATATATTGATAATAAATATGTAGCGGTGATATTGAATTTTTAAAAGATCAACAAAATGCTGCTCGATTCATATATTGGGATACCCTATGAAAGAAAAATAAAAAGATAATTAAACAAATGAACAAGTAAATGGGCTAAAAGAATTTTAGGATTAATTAGTAGAAGGCATTGCTAATGTGAAAGTGGCAATATGCTTGCACGGTACATAAGATTAAGCTAAGAATCCAAGTATATGTTATACTCTCATAGGTATTTGTCCTGAGAGGTTGACTCGGATCTTTTTGTCCTAAAAGCGTCGAACTCCTCTTAGAGTGTTTCATTGACATTTTGGCAAAAAAAAAAAAAACAGTTGCCAAATTGAACTCCTAGTTGGTACCAATTTAAAAACCACAACACGTCAACACCAAAATCCTAACATACACATTCTAATTTAATATTCAATATCAGTAATAATGGTTAAATACATCAATTATAAAGTTAGCAAAATAAGAGGAGAATGTATTCAAGTAAAAAGAATAACAGTACAACGTACTAAGTGAAACTCAAGCCAGACTTTTGTCGAACATGTAAAATGCAAGGTTATGATCATGACCTGCAATTGATCTGCAAATGGAGAATATGATGAATATATACACATGTTTTTCACATATACTCTCCACATCAATATTGTGTATTTCAAAATAAGAATGAATGGTACATACTACATAGAGTGTTTCAAGGAAGTTGGGAAAACTGGGGGCCGGGTATGACTATACGTAGGCGCAAAAGGCATACTGGGAGAAGACCGGTGGGCAATGGAAGAGAGACTTTTCAATGGATGAGTCGCTATGCATAAGCGGCAGATGAGAAAATTAAAGGTGTAAGAAGCTCTTCAATGACCGAAGATGATGATGGGAAATGAGATAACGGAAGATGCAACGCACGTGAGTTATTAACAGAAATTAAAGGGAGAAGTAAAATCCTTTAAAAGAGTACACACAGCAGAACACAATGTACCAACTTACCAAGCAAGTGATTACACCAACATTTTTTCAACCCCAAAATGTCCTAACTTGCATTGACAATTATAAGCTTTTAAGATATTAATCAAATAATTAATTTTTTAATTAACTAGGCCGAGGTCATAGTAGATCAAGCTCATTCAAATTAATAGAATTAGTTTGTCATGATTTTTCTATTATATAATTAAATATAAATATTACAAAACAAAACAAAGTATCCAAAATCATAATAAGAAAATAGTATCAAAGGTGGGAGGTAACATCCGAACAGAGAGGTAAACAACAGAACAGAAAAACCAAGCACTTAAAATCTCATGCTTCTAGATTCATTTAGAAATGATCATTCCTCATCTTTTTCGCCTCCATCACCACCACCAGCCTTCTTTAATTTGCAGCAGCCCTCTGGTTCTTTCTCTTCACTCTTCCTGGGCGACCACCACCGAAGGATCGCACCCTCACCATAAAGGATCGCACATTGTCGACCTACCTTCCAACTCTGAAATGCAAAACCAACATCAAAGAACACATACAAGAGATATATTGAATAATAATTGTGACATTGATCTATTGAGTTCAGGATACTGGAGACCACTGACAAATAAAATAATGTGACTAATACAAATCTCTGTGCCATTGATTTTGAACCACGAAACATGCCAATCAATGAAAGTAACCCAAAAATGCACCAACATTGAAAACATAGACAACTATAAAACATCCATTAAGTAGTGACAACCGATTGCATAAAAGTTGCTCTAATGGCTTTAAATTGTGGGGCAAGAATTCTATCTTTTTTCATTTATCACTTTTAATCATTTAGGAAGTTCAGCGAAATTAAGATGAACAACACTTGTATGATCACAAAAAGAAGACCAGAAATTTAGGAAAGCGCAAATAACTAAGGGAAAATGGAAACTAATAATCCAACCTTTTAGCGGTCTTCTTTCAATAATCCAACCTTTTGATTATTCATGAATAATCCAACCTTTGCACTTCATCTTCATTCACTGGTCCCTGACCGGTTGATCACCTGCTATTTCAAACTATTTTCTTATCTTTGCAAATCATTATACCATAAATGTCATCTTTCACAAAGATAATATTTTGGAAAGATAAGAAAATAACTTGGAATAGTAGGTCATTAACCGACCAGGGACCAATGAATGAAGATGAAGTGCAAAGGTTGGATTATTCATGAATAATCAAAAGGTGGGATTATTGAAAGAAGATCGCTAAAAGGTTGGATTATTAGTTTCCATTTTCCCAATAACTAATAATTATGGTATAATGCACAACATAACTTTCTTCATAGATATTAAATTTTACCGGATGTACTTCTGCCTAATGAGAACTCTGGCATGATTGATTGACTTGGTCATGCCAGCCTTGAACACCAATGTCTGTACACGGCGCTCAAGGAAGTTCTCAACAGTGAGGGCAAGCACATAATCAAGCTTGTTTTGGCTCTCATCCGGCAACCCATACTGATTCATCATCTTCAAAAGTGCATCTCCCTGAAATATACGCTTTGGGTCCTTCTCATCAAGGGTAAGAACCTTCCGTGCATTATTCCTGATACGGCGGCTCAAAGCATGCTGAACTCTCCACAACTCTTGCTTGCATCTGAGACCTTACTCACCTACAAGCTTCAACTCAGAATCCAAACGCTCCTTCCCATATAAAAATAATTTTTTTAAACGCAATAATTTTTTAGCTACGGCCCATATAAAAATAATAATACAAAATTATGTTCCAATTAGGCCCAGGCCTTCCACATGGACTTCCCGTTCCGGTTTGGCTCACAACCGTATCGCCGCCGTAAAGCTTCACATTCTCGATCATAATCTGGACGGCCGGCAGTGGCAGATATATGGGAAGTTGAGCCAGGCCAAAAAATAGTACGTAGTAATTTGGGGCCCCTTGGACCTCTCATGCCAAAGGGGCCCCAAAAAATAAAATAAAAACTATTAGTATTAGTAGTATAGGTAAAACAGTACGTAGTAATTTATAAGAATAACTAGTATTCTACTCGTGCGATGCACGGGAAATAATCATATGCAACAATATATGCCTTATATGGCACAAGATAAAATTTAAATATTTGAAACATAAAATTAATAAATGTGGGAAAACTGTCAATTTGGTCCTCGTACTTTCGTGAAAAAGTCAATTAGGTCCTCGTATTCGATACTGATACTCACCGATACGTGTCCTGTACGTATTGGGTATGTATCCGTAATTTAATAAAAGTATCACACTTATTTTTAAAAAATAACCGATACTTCCGATACCCGTACCTGTGAACCGGTACCCGTATCCGTGAACCGATACGCGTATCTGACCTTATAACCCTCATTTCACACACATCATGACGAAAATTTAGTAGCCGCCCAAGCGACCACAAGATGTGAAACATTATTAAAGATGAAAAATAATGGATTAGTATAATTTGTCATTTTTTCGCTTGATGAGCTTAAATTGAAACAAGACTTAGATGTAAATGCAAATAGAGAACAAAAAATATTATTTGAATTTAAATCAAAATATTAGTACTTTAGTTTTTTAGCGTAATCTTTGAAATCTTATTATAATACTTATTTTTTTGTACTATTTTTATTTAATTTATGAACCTCTTAATTATATATATTTGCAAATTATACCCTGTATTTTTATAATTTATAAATATACCCCCGTACACGTATCCTATGATTTTTGAAATTGTCGTATCGCCGTACCCGTATTCGCGAATCGGCGTATCCGGGCAACATATGTTGTGGGCTGAACTGGAACGGGAAGCCCATGTGGTAGACTAGGCCGGATTGGAACGTAATTTTGAGCCCGTTTGGTAGCACCAAAATCGGCTGATTTGGCTGATTCTTCTTAAATTTATGAAGTTCTGGCTGCATTGGCTGATTATGCTGATTTAGGAAAAAATTATTTTTAAAATATATTTTATTAATAAAATAAAGAAAAATATATATGTAAAATAGCTAAAATGGTCATCCACAGTAACTTCAACCAATACAACCAGAAAAGTAACTTCAACCTTACTTTTTCTGCTTATAACACAATTTAGCGCGTGAAAGCAAAAATTACGTGTTTGGTGAAAAAGTTGGTTGATAAGCCTGATAAAGCCGAAAAATAGTGTTACCAAACGGCCTCTTAGTATATTATTTTAATATGGGCCTATTCTAAAGCTCTGACTAGGGATGGACCCGGGCCGGTTCCGGATCGGGCCCGGCCTGGCTTTTTCTTTGGGAAGGGAGAACCGGAACCGGCCCGGGTAGGCAGCGGTTCTGGGCTGGGCCGGGCCGGTTCCGGTTTGATGTTATTTTTTTTTATTTTCTTTTGATTTTCTAATTAACCCCCGACCCCTCACCCCCACCCCCAACCCCCCCCCCAAAACACCCAACCCAACCCGGTAGAAACAAAAAAAATTGAAAAAAAAAAATTAGGCCCGAACCGGGCCCGGACCGGTCGGGCCGATTCCTATTTTAGGAGGCCCGAGCCCGCCCCGTTTATTTAACGGTTCGGGTGGCCCGGACCGGTCCTATGACCGGGTACCGGGCGGGGCCCAAAGAGTACCAGGCCGGGCGGCCCGACCCGAGTCCACTAGCTCTAAGGCTCTAACCTCCGTTCAAAGCCCATTTCCCTAAAAATTATGGCACTCTGCGCACACTCGAGCGTATATATACACATGTATATAAATAGAGTTCTACTCTTCCAACCCTAGCCTTCCGCCCTTACCTGCGGTATCTTTACACAACTATCGACCGAATCGACGACCTCGCCTCTGGCCTGAGATGGTGCACGTCTCTTACTATCGGAATTGTAAGCCTTATCATAATTTCCGTCTGTCTTACTATCGATGTAATCTGTATGTGTTGACGCATTCAAGTTTGGGGTAAATGTGTGGTTGCGACGAGAGCATAAATTTTGTGATTGTCTGAGATTGTAGCTTCATCTAGGTTAAAAACATGATCTTTGGGGATATCGTGGTAGCTTCACTTGCTTTATGTTTTTCTGGGTTTTTGGGATATCACGGCAATGCTATATAACCCGCATCTAAGATTATAACCTCTGGGTTCCAATGTTATTTAAAGGGTTGCACAACCTTAAGCAGACTGATTCTTAAGTTCCATTGTGTTTTTGCTTCTGCAACTAATTAAATTTCTATGGAACACATTTTACCTATCGCTTGTACTGTTACATGTAGCATGTGAGAGAATCTGTTCATGCTTGTTGTGTATGTTTCTTAACGGTGAGTGTGGTCAATGATGCTTGTGCTTATGTCAACGGTTGGATCTGTGAAAATCAAAGTTATATTCTTAGTGTTAAATTGTAGTACAGAAAGTTCTCACGAACACTGATTATGATTACCTCTTCACTTGATCATTAAAATAGGTTTGTAAGTAGATATAGAACATGAGTCTGAAGTCTGAACTGGTACTGAATTTAACTTATTTTGAGTTTGGATGGATGTACTGGTTGTCACTACCCAACTATGTGTCTCTGTTATATGGTAAACTCAATAATATGTTCATATGTTATCAAATGTAGATGGAAAGACATTCAAAAAGCCACGTCGCCCATACGAGAAGGAGCGTTTGGATTCTGAGTTGAAGCTTGTGGGTGAGTATGGTCTCAGGTGCAAGCGGGAGCTGTGGAGAGTCCAGTATGCTTTGAGCCGTATCAGGAATAATGCACGGAAGCTTCTTACCCTTGATGAGAAGGACCCAAAGCGTATTTTTCAGGGTGATGCGCTTCTGAAGAGGATGAATCAGTATGGGTTGCTGGATGAGAGCCAAAACAAGCTTGATTATGTGCTTGCCCTCACAGTTGAGAATTTCCTTGAGCGCCGTCTACAGACTTTAGTTTTCAAGGCTGGCATGGCCAAGTCAATCCATCATGCTAGAGTTCTCATTAGGCAGAAGCACATCCGGTAAAATTTAATTTCTATGACGAATGTTAAATTGTTCACTATACAACAATTATCAGTTGATTTGTGCCTTTTTAAATTTCTGGTGTTCTTTTATTTTTCATACAACTTTTGTTTGTTTGAATTTTGCTGAAGTTTCAAATGATTAAAAACGATTAATGAAAAAGGATACAATAATTGCCATAAATTCAAGCCATTAAAAGCAACGTATATGCAATCTGTTTTATTAGATAATGGATTGCATTAAGGTTTTCTAAGTTTGCATTTGTGGTGTATTATACTTCATTTCTTGGCATGTTTTGTTGTTCGAAATCAATAGCACAGAGATTTGCATCAGTCACAGTATACATTTGCAGGTGATCTCCAATCTCCTAATGTCAATGGATGAAGATGCATTTATAATATAAATTCTTGCTTGGTTTTAAATGTCACTGGTTTTATTCATTATTTTTCTTGTATGGGTTTTTTAATCTTACTTTTGTATTTCAGAGTTGGAAGGCAGGTTGTCAATGTTCCATCCTTTATGGTCAGGGTGGACTCACAGAAACACATTGATTTCTCACTGTCTAGTCCCTTCGGTGGTGGTCGTCCAGGAAGAGTGAAGAGAAAGAACCAGAAGGCAGCTGCAAAGAAGGCTGCTGGTGGTGATGGAGATGAAGAAGATGAGGAATGAACATTTCTTAAATGAATCTAGAAGCATGAGGTTTATGTGCTTGGTTTTTCTTTTCTATTGTTGACCTCATAATGGATCTTAGTATGTTTCCTGCCTGCCACCTATGATATCATTTTCTGAAAATGATTTTCGATACTATGTGTTTTGCTTTGTAGTATTCATATTTAATTTTCTTATTGAATACTTGAGCATTTTTTTAATGTTAGCCTTTTCTATATCATGCTACTTACGTAATACTATTACTGCCACATCTCTCTCTTTCCATTGCAAGTACAAAAAGTGACAACAAGCCTAGACTTATTCATTGACCCCAAAACTAACCAGAATGCACTTGTCCAGTAGCACCCGGGTGTTGGTGTCTTGTCCGCGCATGCTCAGGATTTTAGGAATAAAGACTTGTCTGACTTGCAAGCTGCTGCTAGTAGGCATGGACTGGGATGGGTCCGAGCATGCTTTGGGTCTTAGCAGGCTTCGGGCTGGGACTGGGACTGGTCCCAAATAATCAAGCCCAGTACTGGCCCGGGCATAGTCACACGGATCGCGGTACGCTCCGGAATGTGGAACGAAAACGGGATCGCGGTTCGCTAATATCTAAAATCCGATACGTAGGGGATCGCGGTACGCTCCGGAAGAAGCCTACCGGCTTCTTCGGTACGCTATTTCGGTACGCGGTACGTTGTTTATCATGCTACGAATTAGGCTATGATGGTGGTGTTGGGGATGTTGATGATTGTTGAACACGCCTCTGCTGATGGGGTGATATGTTGGCTTAGTCTATTATGTTGGAGTCATTGTCATGACATATCAGAGTTGCTTTCACAGGGTCTAATGTCATAAAGCATTCAGGGCATTTATTCTTCCTATTGAGACTTTTTGAAGAATGTATTATTCAAAAGATTTGAAGATTGGAATTCCAGGCAGCCTAATTCTAGTCTCTTCTTTCTAGAAATTGATTGTTTTTATGGTTTATATGTTTTTTAATTTAAATTATAAGGTGAAGGTGGATGGGATTCATCACAACTGTGGCTGGTTTTGCTCACAGTTGGCATATTTGGAGTTTTTTTTTTTTTTTTAATTTTGAGACAAAATGCCCATTAGTGCTTATCTAACTTAGCTCATAAATCTAAACCATAGTATAAAACTGTATTAACCAAAAAACATACTCATAGACGAAAAGTAAGTTCAAGATAAAAGAAGAAATATTCCTCTAAAATTCATAAATGAAAATCCAGCAAAAAGCATAAGCGTGTCTAGTGATGGACTCGGGCCGGGAGTAGGGGTGGACTCGGGCCGGGCCAACCGGCCCGGAACCGGACCGGCCCGCTACTGTGTGGGCCCGGACTGGCCCGGTCAACCGGTTGGTGCACCGGTTCGGGCCACCCGGCCCGGTGGGATGGCGGTTCGAGCTCGGGCCCTGATTTTGGTGAACCGGCCCGGCCGGTTGGGGCCCGGTCCGGGCCGGATTTTAATTTTTTTTTTTTTTGAAATTTTTTTAAGTTTTGGGTTGGATTATGTATTTTGGGCCATTTGAGGTGGTTTGGGGTGGTTTGGGGTTGAGGGGGAGGGGTAGGGGGTTAAAAAGGAGAACCAAAAAAAAATAGACTGGTTGGCCCGGCCCGGCCCGGTTTGGCCCGGAACCGGAACCGGAACCGCCCACCGGCGGTTCGGGCCCGGGCCCTAGTTTTCTGGCCCGAGGCCCGGCCGGGCCCAGGCCCGAATCGGGCCCGATCCGGCCCGAGTCCACCCATGGCCGGGAGGCCCGACCCGGAACCGGCCCGGAACCGGCCCGGTTACTGTTTGAACTGGTCCGGGGGGCGGTTCGGGTCGGCCCGGCCCGGTTACTGTGCGGTTCGGGCCCGGGCCCTTTGATTGGCGAACCGGCCCGGCCGGTTCGGGCCAAATTAATTTTTTTTTGATTTTTTTTAAGTTTTTGGGTTGGGCTTGGTATTTTGGGCCATTTGAGGTGGTTTGGGGTGGTTTGGGGGGGAGGGTTGGGGGTTAATTAGGTAAAGCCAAAAAAAAAAATAGAACCGAGGCCCGGCCCGGACCCGGGATTACCCGGGCCGGTTCCGGGCCTCCCATTTCTGAACCGAGGCCCGGCCGGGCCCAGGCCCGAACCGGAACCGGTCAACCCATAGGCGTGTCTCATACTCTCATGTAGTCATGTCTTTCAAGTAAACACTCATTATATAGGAATGAAGTAACTGCACAGTTCTTGCGATGACTAATATGCAAACTAGAGCATTCTGTAGATATTTTCCATTACTAATAACTAGCTATAAAACCTAATAAGTAATGACTAAAAGGATCTTATCATCTTTGTGGGTCGTGATATTTTTTTTAATAATGTAAATGTAAAACAGGGGAATACTTAAATTTTGTACAGTGCAATAGTACTACTATTTTATAATGTTATCTTTTGTTTTATTGTTCCTGAAACTTATTGTTTAGTAATATGTATTTAAAACACAAAAAAGAATTAGGTGTAAGGCAATATGAGACAAAAAAACGTTAGTGAAATCTAATATTGCAGTAAATTAGGGACTCAGTATGCTACTGCACTTGGTAAGTGAGTGAGTTAGTGTAGTTTTGTATTTGAGAGTATGCTTAGGCTTCAAAGAAATCCAAGGAATTACTCATTTTTTTGCGAAGTAACATTTTTCTGGTTTAGTTAGTTAGTGTAGTGGTTTGTTTGTTTTTGATTGATTTCTATTGTGTCTTATTTTTTTTTTTTTTGCAAGAAAAAGACTTAACTTCCATTAATCAGATCATTGTCAATAATACACGAAATAAACGGAGGGGGGTCAATAAACCAAAAATGTGAATCAGACATAGAACAAGCAGCCTTAGCAATAGCGTGAGCTAGCTTATTCGCTGACCGCCGAATAGGAGAAAATGAGATATTAGCAAAACTATTCGCCAACACTCTTATAGTCTTATGTGTTCCGCAATCAACCCAATGGAGGAGCAACTTGCACACTTCCAGATTTCCGAGATAGCACGTGAGGCGTCAGACTCCACCTCAACACTCTGCCAATCCTTCTTCTGTAACCAGCTGAGAGCTTCGCGGACCCCAATCCATTCCGCCTCCAACGAAGAAAATGTTCCAGGCTGTGGTAAGGCCATTCCAGCTACAAAACTGTCCTCCTCGTCTCGCAAGCACCAGCCCAGGCCACAACGATCTTGCCGGACAGCAGCATCCACATTAAGCTTGAAACTGCGAGGGGCTGGTTTGCGCCACAAAGGGTAAAGGGAGACTGCAGCCGCTGCTCTTCGTCCTTTGTCAACCTGAGCTTGAACCCAACCTGAAACATAAGAATGAGCCCTGCACATAAGATCATTAGCAGAAGATGAAGTGTTCTGCCACACTCTCCGATTTCGTTCGCACCAAAGAGCCCAACACCCCCACACCAGAACCTCCAAATCTTCTTTCCTCCTTGAATGAAATTCAATCTTGATTTGTTCCAGGAAGTCATCTCCTCCAAAGCTGGCCCAAGTCCACGAAGCTGCTCGCCAGGCCTCTTTCGCCACGGGGCAGAACTTAAATAGATGCAATAAAGATTCTCCATTTCTGCCACATAAACCGCAGCTTGCTGAGCAGTTCACTCTCCGAGCTATCAGCTTGTCTTTCGTTGGTAAACAACTGCTACAAACCTGCCAAAAAAAGAATTTAATTTTAAGAGGAATTTTCCGATTCCACATGTGAGTCCACCCCGTCCAATTTTCGGGATTAATCTCGCCGACAAGATGACGGTAGCAACTTCTGACTGAAAACCGCCCATCTTCCTCCCACCTCCATTGTTTCGCATCAGGCACCGAACGAAGGCCAAGGAGAATTCTCCAAATAAGATCAACATCTCTCCCATCCAGGACATTGTTGAGAATGTCATCCTCCCATCTCCCATTCCCTACCATTTTCGTCCATAAGGCTCCTAACCACAGCCTCCTGCAAACCTTCCCCCATCACCGTAACAACCCTCGGATTAATAGAGTCAGGCAACCACGGGTCATCCCATATGTTAATAAACCTGCCGTCCCCAACCCGCCACTTAAAACCATCCCGGATAATATTCTGAGTCTCGAATAAACTCCTCCAGACGAAAGAAGGATTATGCCCAAGTGTAGCAGACAAAAAAGTCCCCCTCGGAAAGTATCGAGATTTGAATACTTTTCCAACCAGGGATCCCGGATGATTGAAAAGGCGCCATGCCTGTTTCGACAACATAGCAAGATTAAATTCATGGAGTCTTCTAAATCCCAAGCCGCCAACCTTTTTCGGAGTACTAAGAGAAGCCCAATCCTTCCATCGAATACCCGAACCGGATTTTCCTTTCCACCAATAACCATTCATTAAAACTTCAATCTCCCGACACAGATCTTTAGGCAAAAGAAAAACATTCATTGCATAGGTGAGCATAGCTTGAATCACAGATTTCAACAAAACCTCTCGACCTGCCTTAGAAAGGAATTTATTATTCCAATTGTGAATACGACTAACCACCCTCTGACGGAGATAACTCAGTATTTCCTTCTTACCCCTACCCAGCAAGGCATGCAGACCCAAATACTTTTCATGCAGCCCCTCCAAACCGACCCCCAAGAGGTCAATCAGCCCAACTCAACATTCCTCGTTCACATTAGAACTGAAAAAAATCCGGGACTTGTGAAAGTTGATTACCTGACCTGACGCCTCCTCATAATCAGCCAACGTTTCTTTAATAAGAGGTGCCTCCCCATGATTAGCTCTAAAGAACAAGAGACTATCATCTGCAAAAAATAGATGAGAAATTATAGGTGCCCCCGAGCAATCACCGCCCCATGAATCCATCCCGAGCTCTCATACTGGCGAAGTAAAACACTAAGCCCTTCCGCCACAATTAAAAATAAATAAGGTGAGAGAGGATCACCTTGATGCAACCCTCTCCCAGGTGGTAACAGATCAATTTCCGAATCATCAAAGGGGATAGAATAAGAAACTGAACTAACGCACTCCATAATTAGATTCACCCGTCGCTCATCAAAACCCAGATGGCGCATCATGCCTTCCAAAAAAGGCCACTCCACCCTGTCATAGGCCTTACTCATATCTAGTTTCAGAGCTACATAACTTGTATGCCCCTGCCGCTTCCTTTTTAGGAAATGTTGAGTCTCAAAGGCAAGCATAATGTTATCAATAATAAATCTATCCGAAATAAACGCACTCTTGCTAATAACTAATTAGTCGTTGTCTTTTTTCTTCAGCAATCCTGCTAATTGGACTGGAAAGTTTCTTACTTACCAGAAGTAGTCAGTGTTTACGAATTACAATTTATCTCTTTTAATGTATTCTTTCAAAAAAAGTTGGATACATCGGAATGGATGTATTTTTTCAACATGTATTCAAAAAATGCATGATATTGTAGATCCTATAACGATATATTCTATTGCTATAATCAATACTCCATTTCCATTCTTGTTTAATTTTTGATAAAGGTTATTAAAATAGTCGTTTGCCTCTGTTCTGAATAGCAAGTACATTATTTATTTGAAACATGTTAATATGAGAAATGCAAGCCATATCGAAATCAGGCCAACTTATCTTTCTTTTTTTAATTTTGAAGTGACTCATAGTATTGATCGCTTGGAATGTAGTTTTAAATTTTATCTGTAATAGGACTTTATTCTGACAAAAAATTATTAAAAGCAGTGTTTTGTGTTCCTTAAAAATAAGATAGGATCGTTCAAAAATAGGATGGTTTTACATTTTCTTAGAAATATTTTGTTCAAAAAGAAAACTATCGAACACTCTCTTGATGTAAGCGGCTTTGCACAAGTTATGCTTTTTAATCTTACCAAACACTCTTGAATTTTTCTACCATATATCAAATTTGATAGAGTCCTACAAAAGTGAATTTCATGTATATAACATTGGGCATTTATCTGATCGCGCATCGCATGTGCAAAAATTAGTAATATATAACATATACACTCTGAGTGTGCTGTGTAATGTAATTTTTAGGGCAAAATAATGATGGGCTTAGAACGTCGCCTATGGCTTTAGAACAGGCCCATATAAAAATAATAATACAAAATTACGTTCCAATTCGGCCCAGGCCTTCCACATGGGCTTCCCGTTCCGGTTCGGCTCACAACCGTATCGCCGCCGTCAAGTTTCACATTCTCAATCATAATTTGGACGGCTGGCAGTGACAGATATATGGGTAGTTGGGCCAGGCAACTTCCTTGGGCCTCTCCCTTGGGCCTCACATGCCAAAGGGGCCACAAAAAGTAAAATAAAAACTATTAGTGTTAGTAGTATAGGTAATATGGTCCGTAGTAATTTATAAGAATAACTAGTATTCTACTCGTGCGATGCACGAGAAATAATCATATGCAACAATATATGGCACAAGATAAAAATTAAATATTTGAAACATAAAATTAATAAATAGGGGAAAACTGTCAATTTGGTCCTCGTACTTTCATGAAAAAATTCAATTAGGTCCTCGTACTTTTAAAAAGATGAACAACACTTGTATGATCACAAAAAGAAGACAAAAAATTTAGGAAAGCGCAAATAACTAATAATTATGGTATAATGCACAACATAACTTTCTTCATAGATATTAAATTTTACCGGATGTACTTTTGCCTAATGAGAACTATGGCATGATGGATATACTTGGCCATGCCTGCCTTGAACACCAATGTCTGTAGACGACGCTCAAGGAAGTTCTTAACAGTGAGGGCAAGCACATAATCAAGCTTGTTTTGGCTCTCATCCAGCAACCCATACTGATTCATCCTCTTCAGAAGTGCATCTCCCCGAAATATACGCTTCGGGTTCTTCTCATCAAGGGTAAGAAGCTTTCGTGCATTCTTCCTGATACGGCTCAAAGCATACTGGACTCTCCACAGCCCCCGCTTGCATCTGAGACCATACTCACCCACAAGCTTCAACTCAGAATCCAAAGCTCTTTCTCATATGGCCGACGTGGCTTTTTGAATGTCTCTCCATCTACATTTGATAACATAAGCACACATTTAATGAGTTTACCATATAACAGAGACATATAGTTGGCTAGTTGGAACTTATTAACTTCTTGGGAATAATTTATTCAGGAAAATCTGGGAGCTATTTGGTAGAACAGAAACGAAATTGCAATTAAAACATCCATCCGAACTAAGGATGTGCAGTTATGACTTATGTTCTATACCTACTTCCAAGCATATGTTAAAGACCAAGTAAACAGATAATAATAGTTTTTCTTAGAACTTTCTGAACTAAACTCAAACTTAAGACAACAACTTTGATTTCCAAGATCCAACAATTGACATTAGCACAAGCATCATCAATCACAGCCGCCTCTATGAAAAATACATAAGAAGCATAAACAGAGTCTCCCGCAGGCTAAATTTGATGGTACACACGATATATCAGAAAGATCAACATTTACCGCATGCTGTATTTTCTATAGAAATTTAATTATTTACCAGGAACATAGACAAAATGGACAGTCTGCTTAAGTGTGTGCACAACTTTGAAGCACACAACTTTGAGCCTACATGTTATGATCATAATAGATGTGACGCACGACATATCACTGCCCAGATATCCCAAAAAACAAGGCAAAAATAAATGGAGTGAAGCTGCTACAATATCCCCAAAGATCATGGATTTACCCTGGATTAGGCTACAATATCAGACGATCACAAGATTTAAGCCTCTCGCCGCAACCATACATTTACCGCAAACTTGAATGCAATAATAGTTAACACATAAAGATCACGATGAAAGTAGAAGGGAATTATGTTGGGTGTGTTTCGAAAAACTAAGAAAATTAATTAATACTACCTCCGTCCAGCTAAGATTGTCTCATTTTACCTTTTCGGTCCGTCCCACTAAGATTGTCCCATACCAAATTAGGCAAATTTGTATGGCTTTAAATTATTCTTACTTTATCAATTCAATATCAACCACATAACTCATTTTTTATTAGTTTGCGTGTCACTCCCTCTTGTCCCATTGTTAGTGGGATGTAGGGAGTAAAAATTAATTAAGTAAAATGACAAAACGAAAACAGAAAATAGATGAAGCAGAAAAGTCAAAGCTCGTGCTACGCACGATTTCCTTAAAACGTTTTTGTTGCCTCCCGGGGTGCTAGGAGCGTTGCAACGATCGTTTCCCAGGATACGATGACTTTGAACGATAGTTTAGCACTCAAACTAGATTCCAACGAACGAGAACAAAGCCTAGAACACAAAAGGAATTTTTCCGGAGAAGGCTGGACTGTTTTTGAGCTAGAAAGAAGTGCGGTACGTTTTTTTTGTGTTTGTGTCCTTTTGCAAAGCAGCTACCAGCCTTTCATAGGGGTGGATTTGCATGTGTCAATGGCCTGTTTAAGGCATATGAACGGTGGAATCAATGCTGTGAACGTTGGGCATTGATTCCAGCCCAAAACAGTCCAAAACGTTCATATGAACGTTGGGACTTCAAGGCAGCATGCTGGCATTGATTCTCCATGCAAGCTGTCCAAACCCGCTGCATTTAGGTACAAAGACGTTGGGCATTTATGCTGCAACGTTCCAGCTCTGCATGGAGCATAAATAAAACTGAAACGTACCGGAAGAATTTGATTCGCACCCCCCTGCGCGCGTGAGAGAGTCTTTCCCTTTAGGAAGCTTAACTCCTTAGAGGGGGTTTCCCTTTATAAAGGGCTCGAATTCCGTTGTGATTTTCGGTGTGGGAAAAAGCCACACTAGAAACCCACTTTTTCGTATTTTTCTCCATTTCAACGAGTGAACTTCAAGAATCAATATCTCATTCACCCGTTATCTGTTTTGATCATACTATATATCGAATTGTAGTCCTAAGCAAGGACAATCCGAAACCACTTTGACCCGACCCAAATCGGAAGTGGACCCCACTCAAAAAATTGCCCCAAAATGACCGTTTAATGCAATTTTAACACATTTTTCCAACAAATTATTAGAAGGCTTACAGTTCTGATAGTAGGAAATGTGCACCATCTTAGGCCACAGGAGGCGAGGTCCTCAATTCTGCGATGATTGTGTAAAGATACGCAGCTGAAGCTAGGGTTCGAAGGGGGAAAATCACTTATATACATGGGTATCTAAATCTAAAACTTAAAAGCGTGAATGAGGGTTAATCTAAAAACTCAAAAGCCTGAATGAGGGTTAATACCCTTTTAGGCATCTAAAATTTGTTCGTGTAACATCATCGTTATACGAATAAGGCTCAAATTGGACATTATGGTTTCATCAGAATCTCATATTTGACACTAAAGTTTCAAATGGATCATATTGGACACTAAAATTTCATTTGAGATGTCCTTCATGTTGAGGATTTATTCCTTGCTCAACTTTACAAGTTCAACAACAGAATGTCTTTTGCTGCTTATATAATAAACGCCAAACTAAGTTAGATAGTCCTTTTACCGTTACACTTTAACATCTCTACTTATAGGATGAACGGCCAAACTTAATTAGATAGTCCATTTTCCGTTAAACTTTAGCAGTTTATCAATAGGCAAACATTTCAATTAACATCGTTCTTCACCGGCCTCTTCGCTCGCATACACCTTTTCAATATACCTCAGTGGTTATCAAACCGCCTTGTCCGCACATGAAGATTGTTACATTTTATTTCAAGAGAAAGAATTGGACCTGTTTCAACCATCTTTCCATCATTGTCTGCACGCTAGAGTGAAAAGGTATTATTATCATGTCAAGTTCTAAATTTATCTTCTTCTTCTAATGCATAAATCCCCATTTTATACCCTTTGTTGCCTTGTACATTCATTTACAACTTTAACAACAGAGAAAAGATGCGCATGATCTGCCCTTGTTTGCACTGAATTTTAAAATTCCTTTACAACTACAATGATGATTTCAGAAACTACCTTGGGGAAATGGCGTAGGTTCACTGCTATTCAACCTTATTTGGATGTGCTGCTAATGAACAATTTGAGGATTTGAAAAGATGGGCTTCTAATTGCTACGTATTTATGAACAAAAAAACATGATTCACGCCTACAAAGTGTTCGGTAAAAAGCCTCAACGGGGGTTCATAACATTATCTGCAACGATCTTTAGAATTGTTATACTTATTCTGTAATGCTTCTTTTATATGAACACAAATTCTATTCTAGAATGCCTTCGGAAGTGCTTAGTAGGGATTTCACACTTAAGATTAATTCATAGGCGGAATATCATTCACATAAGAACACAAAAAATGTAGCGGTCTCAAATGATTAAAAAATATCATAAGTTCACAACGTAGTTTCAATTTCAGGAGATTGATTTACAATGTTCAAGTCCACGGACCAATCATGTTGCCTAACGTCTAAGGCTTATACTGTTTTCCAAACATTAGTTTTAATTTCCTTTTACATTTTCTATCATGTAATCAGCAATTTTCATGTGGTCTATACAAATAAAGGACTAGGAAGAGTTGTTAAGACCCGGGGTTCCACCCTAAAAGGTCAACCTGATAGGACGAGTAATCCAAAGTCTTATATAGTGTTTTATTGTTCTAAAGCTTTCCGGTGTGGGATAAATACTTCAACACGCCCCCTCAGCCCGAACCGGGCTGAACAATATCGGGGTGTATAAATGGGCCAAACAGACCCTTAACAAGCTACCCTTAATCATGGGTGCTAAACAAGTTTTCAAACCACAACCGAACCTGACTCTGATACCATGTTAAGACCCGGGGTTCCATCCTAAAAGGTCAACCTGATAGGAGGAGTAATCCAAAGTCTTATATAGTGTTTTATTGTTCTAAAGCTTTCCGGTGTGGGATAAATACTTCAACAAGAGTATAGTTCTAGAGGAGAAAAATATCAAACATGCCCTGCTCAAACCACATTATTAATACGGGGAATCATCTTGAAAATTGGTGCTCAATTAACCACAAAAGAGGGACTATATGTTATACTTCAGTCATACATATTTAACCCTTGTACTAAATTTAATTCTTTTGAAAAAATGTGTGTTTGCACCTACATGGCCTTTAATAGAATGCCATACAAAATTACGTGGATTAAAAAGGTACATAGGCATTATAAAGATGGAAAAAACTACTACCTCCGTCCCAAAAAGAGTTGCAAATTTGACTTTTCTTAGTCAAACAGTCTCGTTTTGTTCACTTAATTAGGATGTCAATTTTTAATTATATTCTAATTTGGAGTTTACAACTTTGAAGCGATTTTAATGTAGTTTTTGAATATGTAAATTTTAATTATTAAAAACTGAATTAATTATCCATACGGAGGGTTGACTTTTATTATTGGTTGACCAAAAATTGTTGACTTTGCAAAACAAATTGGGACGGAGGGAGTATTTCAAAATGTTGTTTGCATTTTAATTGTTGAGTTGCAAGATTCTAAATGTAGGTACTTAGTTTGACTCTTGAACAGATTTGAATCGATTTTAAAAAAACACTACAAAGACAATATGCAGACATAGTATTAACAATTAAGCTAATTAATATTGTCCTTTCTTATTAGGTTAATTAATTACAAATTAAAAAGTGTATTTATTCTAAAAACCTGCAAACAATTTTAAAAAATCACATACAATTAAAGAGTAATAACATTGGGCTTAATTATTGACTCTCAAGTCCCTTCATATACTAAATAACTTCTGCATTTACACTCACTTGGAAAGCACCATAAAAACATTAAGATTATTTCAAACCTCAACTAAAAACACATTAAGTTTCCTTATTGTGTCACACAAGTCAACTATAATTATAAAATGATCACTAAAACTCCTACCATTGGTCACTTCTAATGCATACTTATCATTACTGAAGGACTCGTGAAAATATCCATTTATAACAAAACTTCATAAATATAGTTGGAGATTGTCATTGTATCTAATTTCAAAATCGGTTGTTTTTGCAGGCATTACGAAACAATTGTCGCCACTCACCTCACATTTTACAGAGTATTCAGTATCATTATGGTTGTTATGATTCGAGGATTGATTCTCTATGCATTGGGCACAATTCGCACGAAGTGCGTACACTGCTAGTTAAAATAATAATTCAAATTACGTTCCAACTCGGCTCAAGCCTGCCACATGGGCTTCCCGCTCTGATTCGGACCACAACCGTGTCGCCGCCGTCAGGCTTCACATTTTCATATTCTGGACGGTCGACTGAAGTATTCATTCAAAGCAATGAACCCAATTCAAAGACTTTGTTTCGCTATTTTCAGAAAACCTCTGCTAAACCCGGCTGCCTCTACTTGTGCGGCTGTCCGCCGTCTCTCCAGAAAGACCGGTGACGACGAGTGGAACGTCGCGTGGGAAACCGCATGGCTGCCGGAGGATCTATCGGGGAAGAATCGAGCTCCTTGGGAGACTGACGTTAACTTCTCTCTTCCGGATGACACCTCGAACTCTTCTCATACTCCTCTTCCGTCGGAAGTTGACGGAGAAACCAGGGCATTCGTGGAGGAGATGAACGACAATTGGGATCAAAGAAAGGGGAAAAGTCCGAAAAAAAACTCAGACGGTGATGATATTGCCAAGAAAAATGAAAATGAGAGGTCTATTTATAGTTTAGAGAATATGAGGAAGGATTATAGGGTCAAGAAACAGAGAATACATGCAGGATTGTGGGTGAAGGAGATTGAGAAGATGGAGGAAGCGAAGCTTGGAGATGGCGGCAATGCTGATGATATCGAAAAGTTGCTGGATAGCGCCTCCGAGTACGTATATCAATTCTTTTTGCAATGTTGATTTCTTCTACACTTCTTTTGCGGATTGGAATGTGAAATTGGTTGTTCAAACAAGTGCAGGATTTTTGACTCTGCAAATGATGACTTCAAAAACAATTTACACGTTTCAAGTTCTGATATAAAAGACAAGCCGGATGGATGGGAAACAACATCAAAGAGTGTAGATGGGAACATCTGGGACATGTCACAAAGAGAAGAAGATCTTTTGCTTCAAGAGTTTGAGCGTCGAATTGCATTCAACAAGTTCCAGGTTTGTTGAGGCTTGCTTGTCTGATTTTGCTGATAGACATTTTTTAGATACAGAATGTTAGTCAACTTTATTTTTATTTATTGTAATATTACAGATAGGGAGCTTTCTAAAGACACACATATTCAGTAGAAGGAGACCAATAGATGGGTGGAAGTACATGATAGAGGAGATAGGACCAAATGCAAGGAAAGGAGGGAAAGGAAGTGTTACCAGGTTACCCACTTTAGCTGATGCATCCACTCAGCCCTTTCATCAAGAGGGCACACCAACTCCACATCATGCTCAAAGAAGAACAAGGACAGGAGGCAAGTAGCTCTTCTTCCAGATCGGTCTCATGTGGTGGGGGTTGTCTCTACAACATCACATTGTATCCAATCTCTACATCGTCCATCTGTGTGTAACATATTACATTTGACTACTTGTGATCATATATTTATTTGATATTTATTTGATATTTTCTCTTTTTTTATGTAGGGCTGGGGTTGCCTTTAATTTGAAATAGTGCATGTAGTGTTTCATCTTTTATGATCTCATTTCATGTTGTTCCTTTTATAGTTCATGAAGTTGAGTTGATTAAAAGCCCGTTTGGTAATATTAAAATCGGCTGAATTGGCTGTTTTTGTCGAATTTTATAAAATTCTGGCTGAAGTGACTGAATTGACTGAATTTTATCAAAAAACTATATATAAAATATATTTTAGTAATAAAATAAACAAAAACTTATATGCAAAAATAACTAAAATGTTCCTCTACAGTAACTTCAACCAATACAGTCAGAAAAGTAACTTCAACCTTACATTTTCAGCGCGCGAAATAAAAAATTACGTGTTTGATGAAAAAATTGACTGATAAGCTTCATAAGCCGAAAAACTGAGCTACCAAACGGGCACTAAGAAATGTGAAAGTTGGAGATTGGTAATTTTTTTTAGAAATAAATATTTATAAAAAATCATAGTACATCGTCACATTGATATATATATGTGTATATATATATAGGACATTCCTGGTCCGAACACCGTCCGAACATGGACGTTTGCGGCCCTTCCCGGTGGAATTTTTGATGAAATTTTTTGAGCATGTTCCTCATCAAGTCTAGTTTGTCCATACCAAATTTCAGCTCAAAATTCGATCGGAAAGGCATTCAAATAATTTTTGTGAAGTTGACTGCATTCAAACGGGGATGTTCGGACGGAGGATCTTGTCCGAACGTTCGGACAGGATCATTCTTGTATATATATATATATATATATATATATATATATATATATATATAGGAAAATATTCAAGTAAGGTAGGCCTAAGAATTGAAATTCTTAGGCCTCTTTCATTTGAGGTGCTTCTGAGATGAATTTTTTGATGAAATTTAGTGAGCATGTTCTCCATGAAGTGTTGATTATGCCCACCAAATTTTGGGAAAAAATTCAATCGGGAAGTCGGTTTAATAATTTTTTAAAAATTGCGCAGGTTTTTACATATATAAAATACAGTTTTTTTTCAACAATTTATTTAAATGACTTCCCGATTGAATTTTATTGTGAAACTTGGTGGACATCATCTTCAATCCATGGAGAATATGCTCACAAAATTTCATCAAAAAATTCGACCCGGAAGCACCTCAAATGAAAGAGGCCTAAGAATTACAATTCTTAGGCCTACCTTACCTTAGCATTGTCCTATATATATATATATATATATATATATATATATATATATATAGTGCTCTTCTCATCAGGCCGTCCGGACGGGATGCTCCGTCCGGACGAGCCCATTTGGGCACCTTCCCGGTGGAATTTTTTGATGAAATTTTTTGAGCATGTTCCCCATCAAGTCTAGTTTGTCCATACCAAATTTCAGCTCAAAATTTGATCGGGAAGGCATTCAAATCATTTTTTGAAGTTGACTGCGTCAAAATATACATATAAAACTGCAGTCAACTTCAAAAAATGATTTGAATGCCTTCCCGATCGAATTTTGAGCTGAAACTTGGTATGGACAAACTAGACTTGATGAGGAACATGCTCAAAACATTTCATCAAAAAATTCCACCGGGAAGGTGCCCAAACGGGCTCGGTCGGACGGAGCAGCCCGTCAGGCCGGCCTGACATGAACATTCCTCATATATATATATATATATATATATATATATGAGAGCTCTTCCTTTCCGGAATTTCCGAACAGGACCCTGGTCCGGCCACCTCAATTTGAGGTGGTTCCCGGTGGTATTTTTTACCCAAATTTTTTGTGTATGTTCCTCATCAGGTCTAGTTCATCCATACCAAATTTCAGCAAAAAAATTCAATCGGGGTATATTCCGGACCAGTGAACTTGCAAAAATCATTTGACGACCTTCCCGATTGAATTTTTTGCTGAAATTTGGTATGAATGAACTAGACTTGATGAGGAACATACACAAAAAATTTGGGTAAAAAATACCACCGGGAACCACCTCAAATTGAGGTGGCCGGATAGGGGAGTGGTCCGGCCTGTGTGTGTATAGAGAGAGAAGATCTCATGAGAAGCATGTCTTGGGCTGAAGTGAGAACTTGTGTGTGCCGTCGGATTTGTTCAGATTCAAGTGCATCATTACGTTTTGTGTACCATCAGATTTGTTCAGATTCAAGCCTCATTAATGGCAAGCTTTGTAATTTTTTGGAACCCCATACCTATTTAGAACTGGAAGAAGGATTAACGACCCGGTGTGCTGTCTTCTCTCTCTGATCCTCTTCGTCTACCTCTAGCTGAATTGCCATGTTTGATTTTAGGTGAATATTAGGAGTATATAATAAATATGAGTTTCGATTGCATCAAACCAAAATAAATATTGCGTACAGAATCATCTGCAAATGGATTACCACCAAGATCAAGTGGATCTCCCAAAAAGGTGAGCTAACCTTTCGTTGATGCTAGCTTTTCCTTTCTCCACATTCTTGAGAACAATAAAATTTGGACAACACAGTGAGGAGCGAACACCATTCAAGTTTGAATTTTATCAGAATCTCTAGTACCGAAGTTTATCCTCTCTCCTTTCAAAGTATGTACTTGGAGCATTTAAGGTGTTTGAAGATATGTCTGCAAGAGGCTATCACGTTGAGCACAAGAGTTTCACATTTTATAAGAATGGGAGTTTAAAATAGGCCTTAGAGCTTTAATTGAATGCTTTGTTTGGAGTTCTACCAAGTGACTGTTAAAATGATTCATTGGTAAATAAAATCAATAGACTTCTTTGATTTGAGTAGATTTACAATCTAGGCATCTAGCTGTACGAATATATAAGCTAATGTTCTTGTGTTGCTGACTTCCTATTTTCTTAGACTTCTATGTTTAGTTATGATGATGTAAAATGATTATTAACATATTGGATGTCTTCTTTGAAATACTCCAAGTACAGATACTATATTACTCCGTACTATGTATGGGGGTTTTCTGCTCAAAGTAACTAGTACACATCCTCCAAGATTCCCCAATAAGTAAAGCTTCATTTGGAATTTGATGGAATTTGCAATTTAAGTGTGGTATTTGAGTTATAAAATTTTAAAATTTAAGAGAGTTATGATTCACATTTTGTTTTCATTAAAATGTATTGATACTTGTGATGAAGATTTCTCTTATACTATACACCTACTATAATAGTCATTGTTCATGTGTAAAGTAGAGATTTGTTTTAAAAAGTTATCGATTTTAGAATAGAAGTTAAGCTTCTTTCTGTATGAGTTGGGAAATCTTAAATAGATGTTCTAACGTTAAGAGGTTGTGATATTTGACTCACGAATATCTTCTTACTTCAAACAATAATGCTTGTTAAACAGAGAAATATCTTCCAATTTCAAACAAAAATGCTTGTTATAATTGATTTTCAGCAATGATGAATACATGTAATAAATTGGAAAGTAAAAATTTATTTGTTACTATAACAAAAAGGGTGATAAAAGCAACCACCAATACATTCGTTTTGATAGCTTATGTGGGCCTAAAGCTCACATATTCGGTGATTTCACACCATGCTCTTGTGGTTAAGCAAATAGGTCAAAAGAGGAATAGCTACATGACTACATCATTAAAAGTTATGACATTGTTTATAAAAGTTCATTGTTTGCAACTATTAGTCTCACTGACTAAAATAACTCTGTAGTAAAAACTAAATTCTTGATTTTAGTTAAAGATTTAGCTTTTTGTCAAATGAAAAACTAAAGCTTAAACACAGGGGATTTATCGAGATTTATGAAGAAGTTATTAAAAGTTAAGTTGATTATTTACATGACTTGTAGAATAGAAAATATAATTATAGTGATAGAAGAAAAACGAAAACCAAGGCTCAAATCGTAATATATACGAGATACACTTTGCTCAAGATCTAAAGTATTGAGAAACAAAACAAAAACTTCAAACATATGCATCAATGGATGCTATATTAGGGCGTTTTATAAGAGACAGTGACATCCCAAAAGCTTAGCATTGACACCTTAGACACAACTCCGCCTTCATTTGGACAGTTCAGATAATCGATATGTTAGAACTTTGTAAAACCCTCCCCGTTAAGTGCTAACAATGATCTTTTGGCCCCCAAAAACTTGAACTTGGCAAAACGCTGGCCTCTTCTGTATTTTTACTGTTGGAATCCTTGCAATAGACGATATGTTAGAACTTTGTAAAACCCTTCCCGTTAAGTGCGCTAACAATGATCTTTTGGCCCCCAAAAACTTGAACTTGGCAAAACGCTGGCCTCTTCTGTATTTTTAGTGTTGGAATCCTTGCAATAGATGATATGAAGAACTCATCCAATGAAAACACGAGCACATGTGGAATCCTTGCAGTAGGTACCTTGGGTTGCCAAACACCCCCCCCCCCCCTCATTACCGAAGGACATGGAAAGGGTGAACGGTAACTCTAAGGTGGAAGCAACCTTTTCTGCAAACTTGGTCATGTAATTTTGCAAGCAGTTCGAGCAGATTCAAGGCCCTCAATCTAAGACGTTCTTCTTCTTCTCTTAGCTGACCAAATGCACATCTTTGGGTCAGGCACTCAGGCACTCCACAAAACTACCTTGACTTTGGGTACCCGAGTTCTTAATATGGCATTAACCCCTTGCTGACCTTCTCCCTAGTAGGACTTCTAAGCCAATTTCTATCTGCACTAAATGGGACTTTATAAACAAATCTTCAGTTTGTAGTAACAAGCTTCCCTACCACTAACATAGCTATAATCATAACTTTTAAAGCTATGACTTTTAACTCACATGCGCTTAGATTATAAGAACCAAATAGAATATATAGACTCCCAACATCTGTCACTATTATTGCTATTAATATTGTCATTGGTGTTATTATTATTACTCTGTAAAGTCTGTAATAGTTAATAACAAAAAAAATGTGAAATAATACTGCTTTAAACTTCTTATATAAAATTTAGAGAAAACTACTTCTCTTGTGACTAAAAGAACATGATATTCCCAATATATGACTACATGACTTTTTTTCCTAGTATGATACCATCTTACGGTACATGATCATGCAAGGGCACTTATTATTTATTT